GGCCACAATGGTTGCAGCTCAGCTGATCCCAAAGCCAGAAGCTTCTTCCAGATCTTCTGTGTGTGTACAGGGGCCCATGCCAATCACAGGGAGCTGGATTGGAAGTGGAGCAGCCAGGACATGATTCAGTGTACACATGTAATACTAGCATCAGAGGCTTAGTCTACCAGGCCACAGCATAGGCCCCAAAGGGCAATTTTTTAAAAAGTGGAATCAGGCTTGGAAGGAGGCAATCACACTGATAAAATTCTTCTGAATGATGCAAAGATTAGAATACTAAGGGGAAATGATTGACCAGGGAATTATCTTAAACCTAAATATATGTATAAAGCACATTCATAAGTTTTGCATAGGACTCTAAGAATTAATTCAAACAAAGTCTGACAGTCCAAAGGAGTTCTGTGTGCAGCACTGATAAATACATTTTTACACTGGTGTAGGTGCTCCGTTTGCTGGACCCTTCTTTAACCCTCTCATTGCATGCTGTCTTCAGCTAACTCACAGTAAAGGAGTTCAGGTAGTATAACACCCCAAGCTCTTAAAAGCTTGGTCTCTCAGCTTGCATGTATATCACCAGGATGTTTCATTCCCCCTACCCCAAGTTTTTAACACCATTAAGTATTAATGCTGATAAGTAATCCTTACTAGAAATACACCATAGGATTGACTTACAAATATAATCTGCAAGAATGTAGCTGACAAATGTTATCAATAATATAACAAGTCGTGGACTGTAAGTTTCCATTTGTATGTAATATTTCCACTGATTCATTCCACACTTTGAGGAGTGATTTCCTCCTTTATTTATCTCACAGCACATATTACAAAGACAACATTACAACTGCAGGAAGTGGACAGAATTCTTTGTTTTATCTTAAAAGATGTGAGCTTGAGTGCAAAGGATAGAGAACGACCTTACAGCCTGTTGGACACAGTCTATGGGGAACATAAGGTGGCTGTAGGGAGCAGCCCTCTTCCTCATACAGATAAGTTCAAGATGCAAAGTCTTTTATAAAGCTTAGAGTAGGCATTTAGCTGAGTTAAGACACTGGGTAGGAGGCTCCATGATTCCCAGCTCTGCCAAACACCTAGGATGCCTGAATTGTGTTCCTGGCCAGCTTTGACCTGACCCAATATTGATCCTTGCAAGCACTTGGCTCCCTGCCAGTCTCAAACAAAAACAAAAGTTCAGTTCTTTAGGAGCCACAGAATGGTTGTTCCAATGGCCTAGGAGTGGCAGGAACCATATTTGGGTGATATCACTGTGACCAGTGATATTAAGGGCTAAAGAACCTATGAGATCTTGACAGCTACCAGGTGTACCACTAGAGCTGTGCCACAGTCAAAGGGACATTACTCCAACCTACACTCTGCATGCAAATGAAGAAAGGGCAAGTAAAAGGGGCGGGGTTAGGGGGAGCAGAGACAGGGAAGAGGCAGCAGGATGAATGCCCAACACAAAGCTAGCTGCCAAAACACTGGCTTGCTTCTCTATTGCACATGTGAGGGCAATGGGAATCATGTACTATGACCCTGTGCCATTCTCCCAAGAGACATCGTTGCCTTATAAAAATGTAAACAAAACTCTCATGCCTGACAGATATGTAAGAGGGTAGGGCCTGAGGGAGAGGTCAGACCATCAGCTCAGACAGCAGAAGGGATTCCAGCCAGGAGCCTTCTGCAGGAATAGAAATGAGAGCATATTCTCTCCTGAGGGAGGAAAGGGGGCAGGCAGGTGGGAGGGACTGCACAGTTTACAACATAATTCCATTGGACAAGAGGTTCAGGGCTGGCAGCTCAGGGCTGGAGGCTAGTCATTTGCCTCTCACCAACCAAATGAGCCTCTGGCCATACTGTGAGGTGGCCTGAGGGGGCAGGCATAATGTCTCCCTGGTGACAGAATCCTCCTGGGGCCCTCTGGAAGCACTCACTATACCTGAGGGAGCTGAGGGGCAGGCATGAGCATGGGCAACCGGGTGCTTCCACGGTCCATTTTCCAAATGGGTGGACAGAAGCACCAAGCTTCTTCCTCTCTCTAGCCCCAAGGGCCCGTGAGCTTGCATGAACGTGGCACAATGTCCAACGGCTTTCTGAGTGTGTAAGACAGGCCTATCCAAGACTTTGATTAGCTGTGTTGTCCAAACTTTAGTATTTCAAGGTTATTTTTCCACTAAAAATTTGTAAAGACAAACATTGAGGTACACTATCACAGGCACTGTAGACCTGGCACAGAAATGAATAAACAGACATATGGAACTAAAGACAGAACTCATTAATACCAATCTTCATCTTTTAAACACTTATTAAAGGTGGCAATTATCCTGCAGAATGGTAGAAAAAAAGCACAATAAAAGCTGCTGGCAAGAAAACAACATGGCTTCTCTTGGCGGGCACCACACCACAGTCAGGAGACCTAGTTGGGTCTGAGGGAAGTGAGAGGTAACTCCAGCCAGGAACAGAAGCAAGTAAAAGTTGTGGAAGAGTGGGAGACATGGAAGGGGAAGGAGGAACCAGCGATTGGAAACTTGGGTTCAGCACACAGAGCCCACTGTATTCTGGCCACCACAATGGCAAGTCCCCATCCAGGACATTGGGCACAGTTGGCAGTTCTTGCATTCTGTATCTACCAGGATATCACCTATGTCCACTTGCTCTCTGAATGTGACAGCAATCCCCTCAGAAGGAGAGCACCAGGTAGGAGGAGGAACAGAAACCACAAATAGCCAGAATGGGGTTGAAACCATTTCCTTCCCTATCCAAAAAGGCTGTGGGTTTCTCGATGGCAGCAAGGACTGCCATTCAGCCTACAACTGTAAGCGAGCAGCCCAGAGAGGAAGGAAGTCAAAATTAGAACCTGAATCCCTCTGCTTTGACAGACAACATGGTAAATGCTTGTCCAAACACTCAAAACCCAGCAGAGAGGGACAAAAGCTACAACGAGGAGAGGGAATTGCGAAGTACACACAGTACATACCCCAAGATAAATCACAGTTATGCCACAAAGCTAGTCTTAGATTCAAGAAGACTGAGATCATACCAAATATCTTCTGAAAACTCAATGGCATGAAAATATAAGTCAATAAAGGAAATAATGGAAAACTCACAAATATATAGAAATTAAATAATATGCTCCTAGGCAACTTCTAGGTCAAAGAAGAACTTAAAAGAGAGAATATAAAAATAATGGAACATAGCGCACCAACTTACGGGATGCAATAAAAACAATATTCAGAAGGATGTTTACAGCATTAAATGTCTACATCAAGAAATAAGGTTTTGACCAGAGGATTAAGCTGGTGCCTACCAACCCTACATACCAAACAGACACCAGCTCTTTTTCTGATCCAGATCCCTGCTAAAGTACCTTTGAAATTAGAAGATGGCCTGTGCAAGGGCCCCTACAACCAAATGCAGTTCCAGGCTCCTGGTGTCAGCTTGGCCCAGCCCTGGTCACAGCAGCCATTTGGGGAGTGAACCAATACAAATTGTAAAAACAGAAATTGTCAAATTGCATTTAAGAAAACAGGTAAAACAAACATACATGCACAAAAAATGCCTTAAAATATTTATGTATTTATTTATTTGAAAGGTAGAGTTAGAGAGAGGGAGAGGCAGAATGAGAACTCTTCCATCTGCTGATTCACTACAACACTGAGGACTGGGCCAGAACAAAGTCCGAAGCCAGGAATCCCAGAGCAGAGCAAGGGCCTAAACTTGGACCTTCACAGACTGCTACCCCAAGTGCATCAGCATGGAGCTACATCAGGAGTAGTCAGGACCTCCACTGATTCTCCAACATGAGACATCAGTGTTGTAAGCAGTGGCTTAATCCACTGCACTACAATGTCGGTCCCAAGCAAAAAACACTTTAAATTCATTTGCAGAAACGCTGAAATGTAAGGTATAGAAAGAAGATACACCATGTAAAAAGTAGATATGCTGGCTAGCCATCCTCAAAATGGATAGAACAAACTTTAAAACAAAATAAGATTTTGAGATAAACATTTTATAGTAATGAAAAGTCCAATCAATCTAAATGACCAAGACCACACATGTATATACTTAACAACAACAAAAAACCCTCGACATTAAATAAAGGACAAAAATTCAGAGGTATACTGTTCAATAATAGTACTCGCAAATGTCAATATTCCCTTTTGGTAAAAGGCTGACAAGTGTATAAACAAAATGAATTGACAATGAATGCTACCTATTTCATACACATAACTCATATATACTGAAATACCACATACCACCCAACAATGAAATACATACGTCATTGAAGTGAATACGGAATACTGCTCAGAGAGGAGTATTTGATAGTTCATAAAACATACTAAATTTAACAGGATTGAAATCATGCAAAGTATGTTTTTAGACAGAGTATGTTTCAGTGGATTTGAACTGAAAATCAGTAACATAAGGATATTTAAGAAGCTCACAAACAATTAAAAATAAGTAATGTATTTCTAAGTACTTAGTGAGTTACAGAAGAAATTACAAGGCAAGTTATAATTGAACATGAAAACACACCATAAAAATATGAACACGATGCAGATAAAATAGGGATTCAGGAAAATTTATAGGCTGAGTGTTAACATTTTTGTAATACCTGAAATCAGCTGGTCTTCTGCCATAAGAAATTAGAAAAAGGAAGAACTAAACCCAAAAGAAACAAGAAACAAAGATGAGAATGGAAAAGGATAGAGAAGCAGTGGGAGAGCCAGAAGCAGAATGGTAGCAGATAGAAAGTTACACCCCCACTCACTAAGACCCTCCAACTTCCACACTCAGCTACAGACGTCAGGGTCTCAAACATCCCATAGTGCCTGACTTGCTCCTGCCCTCTCCCTTGATTTCCCCCTGTGCCACCCTGTACCTGCTATACCACAGACCCTGCACCGAATCCAGGGAAGGACCAGCCTTACAAGCTGACAGGCCAGCTCAACTCTGGGTCAGGAGCAGTGCAGGTTCAGATCATGCCCTGTTTCAAAGTAGACAGTCACCCACTCAGACTTCATGAATGCTGCCAAGATACAGGATTTCTAGGCCAGAAGCAAAACGCCATGCTACACAAACACCCAGCACACACTTCATCATCAGCAAGTTTACCTCCATGGGTGCATCCAGATGGAAGATGCATATGTGGTGGGCAGAGGAGGCAACAACTACCTCCACAACAAACAGTAAATTAACAACTGCCTATGCAACAGTAGTCCCTGCTCTAATAGGGCTGCCCAGGAAAACCAAGCACCAAAAAATGCTATACTCCAGGACAGACAGGGCTTTTAACCTGGTCAGGATGTGGAAGGTCTTGTTGTCCTATTTACATTCCAAGTTGCCTGCATGATTGGTCACATCATCTTCAGCCATCCCTTCTACTCTCCTGATCTCATTTCTGGGATTTGAAGGCCCCAAACTGGACCCAGGAATGAGTCTGTGCAGTGCCACTGCCACTATTCTGTGTTCCCTGGTTTCAGCTACATCCCAAAGTGTATCTTTCTCTTCCCACTCTGTCCTTACTTTGGAGCCCTGATCTTCTCTCCATAGAAATTCTAGAACAAGTAAGGAGACAACCAGAATCCAGAAGGCTCCCCTTCTAGAAAGACGCTCCAAGGTGAAACCCACAATAAAACTACAGGCTGCACAGGAAATGCAGCTCTTCTCCTGGGCCTAGCACAGCCTGGGCTCAGTGTCCTCATGTTCCTCTACCCATGGTTTCTCTTCTGCGTAGCTGCTAATACAGTACTGCTGCTGGGAGTTCAGGAGCTATGACAAGGCAAGTGGAGCAGAGGGCGTGATGGAGTGCCCTGCAGTCCTGTTGTCAGGAGGGAAAATGGTCTAAGCATATCAAGAGCAACAGCATCTACAAATGCATTTGTATCCCTGGTGCCCAGGAACGGTCAGGTTACCTGGGTGACATGTACTATCTAGCTGTATAATATTGTATGCACTAAACCATATGTGTATACAATAAGAATTCAGAAAGGGCTGGGTGGGGGACGGAAGGGGTGGCTAGCATTGCGGTGCAGCAAGTTAAGCTGCCATCTGTGAATTCAGCATACAATATGAGCAAAGGTTCAAATCCTAGATGCTGTGTTTCCGACCTAGCTCTCTGCTACATGCCTAGAAAAAGCAGAAAATCATGGCTGGAGTACCTGGACCCACCCTTGTAGGAGACCCAGATAGAATTTCAGGCTCCTGGTTTTGGTTTAGTCCAACCCTGATGATCACTGCCTTCAGGATCCAGCAGGGAGAGATATCTATCTCTATCTCCCAGTCTTCCTTCTTTGTAACCACCTTTCAAATAAAGAAATCTTTTCTAAAAAGGGCCGTGGAAAGAAAGTTCACATAAACTTTAGAAAAAACTAAGGATCAATGTGAAGGAGGACATGACACAAAAAAAGCATATTAAGAAGAATATAAAACTATGATAATATTAAACAGTTATGTCTTTCAACAAGTGTGGGCAAACAGCTCAGTGAAATAAAAAAAAGGAGTCACTACAACCAGATAAATTCAATCAAGATTCATTATTAAAACAGGAATAATCCAACTAAACAAAGTGTAAGCAAGACAATCAAAGAAACAAAAGAAAAACCCTAGCACAGAATCAACAAACCACTAGACTGCCTGAAATTTGAGTCAGTGGCGCAGTCTGCTCGCAGCCTTTCTTCACCCTGTAAACACAGAATGCAGACACAGCAGGCTGTGATCATCATAAATACAGTGGTAACCAGCAACTCTACCATGGACAAAGTATTCATCATGCAGAATTGAATTATAATTTTATGACTGACATCTGTCAATCATGTGATGCCCCTGTAGTTACACAGTTGATATTTATAGGATAATGTGGACAAAGAATGACAGAAAAGTAGCCACTCTAATAGTAATTTATAGTGAATGATACATTTTAAATAGGAGGGTGTTATGTATTCAAGGTTCCCAAAATTGAAAAGTGGAAATTAATATCAGTTATATAATCACACCCACAATTGGATTCATCTGAAAATCAAGGCTGCATGTCCAAGGAAGCAGAGTACAATGCAAAAGAGTCCAAAGCCAGCCTCTGCAACACAGTGTTACTCCCTTGTGCGAAATCCCAAATACCTGTGAGGTGTGACTTCAGGGAAAAGTATTCACATATTCATTACACTTAAGGTATCTTCTCTGTGGGATATCTGTCAAGGATTGACTTAGAAAAGGGTTCTCCCATTCAATACACTTTGACTTTTCCTCTGTGTGACTGCGGATGTTCAGTGAGCCCTACAATACAAATTGTTCCCATTCTTCATACTCATATGCTTTTCTACGTGTGTGAATCCGTTGATGGGTTCTGAGGTATGCCTTCCGGCAGAAGGTTTTCCCACACTCATTACATTCATAGGGCTTCTCCCCTGTGTGAATGCTCAAATGCATGCTAAGGTTTGACTTCCTGCAGAAAGTCTTCCCACATACAGTACACTCATAGGGTTTTTCACCTGTGTGAGTTCTGTGATGCCTGCTGAGATGGGACTTTTGGCAAAAAGTTCTTCCACATTCACTACATTCATAGGGTTTTTCCCCTGTGTGAGTTCTCTGATGTATAGTCAAGTCTGACTTTCGGTAAAAGTTTTTTCCACATTCATTACATTCATAAGGTTTTTCCCCTGTATGGGTTCTCTGGTGCATGCTGAGATGTGATCTCTGACAAAAGGTCTTCCCACAGACACTACAGGCATAGGGTTTCTCCCCTGTGTGAGTTCTCTGATGTTTGCTGAGGTTTGACTTCTGGTAGAAGGTTTTCCCACATTCACTACACTCGTACGGCTTTTCCCCTCTGTGAGTTCTCTGATGCATACTGAGGTGTGACTTCCGGCAGAAGGTCTTTCCACACTCACCACATCCGTAAGGTTTTTCCCCTGTGTGAGTCCGCTGATGCATGCTGAGATGTGACTTGTGATAGAAAGTTTTGCCACATTCCTTACATTCATAGGGCTTTTCCCCTGTGTGAATTCTGTAGTGCATGCGGAGATGTGACTTTCTAAAGAAGGCCTTTCCACATTCACCACATCCGTAAGGTTTTTCCCCTGTGTGAGTTCTCTGATGCATGCGGAGATGTGACTTGTGGTAGAAAGTTTTGCGACATTCATTACATTCATAGGGCTTTTCTCCTGTGTGCGTTCTGTGATGCATGCTGAGGTGTGACTTCCTGAAGAAGGTTTTCCCACATTCGTTACATCCATAGGGCTTCTCCCCTGTGTGAGTTCTCTGATGCCTGCTGCAGTTTGACTTGTGGTAGAAAGTCTTCCCACATTCATTGCATTCATAGGGCTTCCCCTCTTGGTGAATTCTGTGATGGATAGTAAAGCTTGGTCTACAGATAAAAGGCTTCTCATACTTCCCTACATGCGTTCTCTGATTTATTATAAGATCAGCACTGCTAATGAAAGCTTCCCCAAATTCAATGCATTCAGAGAGTTTCTCATCTTTGTGTGCTTGCGGATGTTCAGTGAGGTTACACTTCCCATAGAATGCTTCCTTTCCTCCAGGTGATGTCTCTCCAACAATGAGAGCTGATCTCTCACAGAGTTTTCCACATTCACTGTATTTATAGGAAGTCTCTCCCATTTGAATGGTCTTATGTGTGAAGAATAATTCCTCACTGTTGAAGGTTTCCCCTGGTTCATTATATTCAAAAGGCTGATGCAAAACTTGAAGGTCATAACGTGCATCAAGGTGGCCACAGCATCTGAGAGAATTCCCAGGCATATGACAGTCATGATACTTGACTTCAGCTTGCATGTCAGCAGGCTCTCCAGGGAGGAGCACATTCTGACAGAGATTAAACACATGAGGTCCAAGTCGTGAGTAACTTCCATTCTTTAAAATAAATTCTGAAATACAACTTGAGCCCCAATTAAATGTTTTTCTTAATTCCACTCTTTCCTTAGTTGATGTGCTGCTGTTTGTAACTACGAATTGCCATAAATTTATGTCTTGTTTTTCCTGGCTGGTCTCAATCAGGTCATCAATTTTCTGAACAACTGAAATGAGGGGGAAAAAAATTTATGAACCAAACTTAAACATTAATCCTGGATTTCTCATACAAAGGCAAAAACAAATTAAATCTGTTCCTGTCCTAGTAGTGTAGGATTGAAAAAACATCAACAAAAAGTATTTAATAATGGTAAATACATGATTTTCTCCTTAATAAATTAACATATTAATTGTATTAACAGATTTTCAAATGTTAAATCATGTTGTTTTCTGCTGCTTTTTTTAACAAGTGAAGAAATATTTGGCGAAAATATTCATCCACTACCTAGCTTGTCATCTGCTGTGCTGCACTTTTCCTCTGGCTTTTTATAGCAGCGGTCATGTGGGCATTGTGCTTCTTCTTTGCTGCTCTCTCTGCTGTGCAGACAGCAAGGTTTCCTTGGCCTGCTATTTGCAGATACAGAGGCGGACCACCAGTCTGTTCTATAAGCAGCAACACAGTTGGGAAGAGAACTGGCACCTACACTCAGTTTTTACCCTTCCTAGGCAGGACATGAGAGAACGCTCCTTTGAGAACACACAATGCATGCGTCTGATGCATGAAAGCAGCTGTTCTCAGGGCTACAACAGATGAGAAGACCTCAACAGAGCCAACTTCTGCTGAGCTCTTCCCATACTGGTCTCCCTGACTAGAGGCACTCACTGACCTGACAGACTCTGGTTTAGGGAGTCCTCTACTGTCCACGGCTCTGCTCCTTGTTCCAACTTGAAGATGACCTCAGGCTTGGTAATGCAGAATCCTGTGAATGGGAAAGAATGCAGGGCTTGGACAAATTGTTTTGGTCCTTTTAAGAAGGACCACAGCCAATTTCAGGAGCTATGCAATGAAAGTGCTAATTTGAACCTTTTGCTAGCATTTACAGCCACATTTTTCATAGACTGGAATCTTACACATAGATGGCATTAAACCACATGCAAAGTTCATATATTTCTCAAAAAAAAAAAACCAAAAAAAACAAAAAACAAAGTGTTCCACTTGGGAGCTACTGGGGAGTTGTGCTCACCCAAGGACAGCAGGCTGCTGTAGGTCTCCAGCATTACATCCCTGTACAGGGTCCTCTGAGCACTGTCGAGGTCCTGCCACTCCTCCCAGGAAAAATCCACAGCCAAGTCCTCAAAGGACATCAACACCTGTAACAGCATATTTCTCCTCAACATATCAGCTTGTAATCACAATACAAGAAGCCTGAGAGGTTTTCTTGGAAGTGTCACATATATTCCTTACATATGATGTAGCTTACTTTGAAATTTATATGGCAATGCAAAGAAAAAAATTACAATTTTTGTACTTGTATTATTAACTTTGCAGTTTAAAAAAAAATACTACCATAAAGTTTCCTTTATATGTATATCAAAATGCTTATACCTAGCACGAATAGCATACATACAATTTTGATTCTGAAAGGAAATCACAGTCTAGTCTGAAGATGTAAGTACAAACACATACCTGAAATAATATAGCAGGTAAGCTGAGGCACCTGTTCAATGTAAGTCAGAGTAACAAGGAAGCAGGTAAAATAGATTTTTCTGTATTATCAAATTGCACTTCACTGAAACCCAAAGATGTTTAGATCTTCTACACAACTGAACAAACAGCAACAGACGTATTCATAAAAGCACAATGCACACACACCAAATGAATGAAACTATAAACAGCCCACTGTCCAACTGAGTATTCCTGAGCTGTGTAAAGACAGTAAAGGCGCAAAACCAATAATAATTGACTGTATATTTAAATACTGGACTTACTTTCAGCAATAAAAATTTTATGGATTTGTTTTTAATTATCTATGAGGCATGCTCATAATCATCCACACATTTCCCTTCAATATCAAGAATTGTTACTGTTGAGCCTGGCCTAGCAGTCTAGTAACTGACGTCCTCGCCTTGCACATGCCAGAATCCCATATCAACACTGATTCACATCCTGGTTGCTCCACTTCCCTTCCAGCTCCCTGCTTGTGGCCTGGGAAAGCAGTGGAAGATGGCTCAAGGACCTATGACCCTGCACCCACATGGGAGACCAGGAGGAAGCTCCTGAATCCTGGCTTTGGATCAGCTCAGCTCCCACCATTGCAGCCACTTGGTGAGTGAACCAGAGGATAGAGGATCTTTCTATTCTCTCCTTCTCTCTGTAAATCTGGCTTTCCAATAAAAATAAATAAATCTTAAAAAAAAAAATGGTTGTTACTGTTCACATGAAAGTGTTACCCATTTGATAAGCATGAGCTGTAAATGAGGGGCCAATAAAAACTGTTAAGTTACTGAATCAAATTTGCATTTTGAAAGTCATTCCCTGGAAGAGTTTAATAGTTAAGGTGGAAGAAATCAGTGTGACGTAACAAGCTACTATCAGCACACAGAACACTAAGAATATGCAATACCAGCATTAAAAAGAAAAGAGAAAGCAGGGAGAGAATTCAATGAATTGCTATGCAAAGGGTACTAAGTCACTTCCCAATGTCTGCACGAGTAGTTAGGTAGACACTAGAGCTATAAAATAATTCAGGAAAAAGGACAAAATTACAATGGGTAGAATGAGAAGGATCTTACACTGTGCCCAAAGTTTCTGTAGTCAGACAAGAAGGTTGTTCAAGAGCCAACTGAATATTTAATTAAAAGCTCAAGAGAGCAAGCTAAGATGTTAATAAGTATTTCATTGATGCCTGTAGCCATAAGAGTAAATCAAATGGCTGAAAGAGAAGCTAAGACATAAGAAGAAACTGAGAAACACTAACATTTTCTCAAAAGGGAGGAACATACTGATAGAAGATGACAACAGAGAAGGAACTTTTAGTTCAGTCTTAAGAAGTAATTAAAATTTTCTATACCAATATTGTCGAAGCACACTTAAATAGCAGACTGATGGAACTGTAACTCCTTATGAAGAGTGTGACAGTATGGGAAAAATCAATCAGGGGGCGGAAAGTGGGGGAGCTGAATCCCAGACTACACAGAATTGTATGATAAATTTCAAAAATAAAAATTAAAAAAAAAAGAAATAATTAAAATGAACATGATGACTTTATAAACTTTTTGCACTAAAATAAACAGATTCTGATTCTTTTCACAAACTCTGTACTATAGTTCTGTATTTTATCATAATCATAATCATCCACACAGACCTTAAAAGTATATTTCAAATTATCCAACTTGCAATGCAGACCCGTAATAAACGAGGGCCAGGGCATTCTTCCCTAACATAAAATAGTTATCTCTCAACCCAAAAAGCAACACTGTAATTAAAGGGGAAAGACTGAAATCTAGGGATATTTCATCAATGCAATTATTTAGCATCATACAAGACATGTTAGTTATTTCAAATGAAAAGAAAAAACTGGAAACGATTGGTTTGCATATGATTTACATCTATAAAATACATAAAATCATTACATATTCAACATTCATACAATAATAGAAAAATGAAATACCTAGCACATATTTAACAACAGCAAAGTACAAAACTACACTTGTGGGCACGGTGCGGTAGCCTAGTGGCTAAAGTTCTCGCCTTGAGCATGCCAGGATCCCATATGGGTGCTGGTTTGTGTCCCGGCAGCCCCGCTTCCCTTCCAGCTTCTGGCCTGTGGCCTGGGAATGCAGTTGAGGATGGCCCAAAGCTTTGGGACCCTGCATCCATGTGGGAGACCTGAAAGAGGCTCCTGGCTTTGGATTGGCTCAGTTCCAGCCATTGCGACCACTTGGGGAGTGAACCATTGGACGGAAGATCTTCCTCTCTGTCTCTCCTCCTCTCTGTATATCTGCCTTTCCGATAAAAATAAATAAATCTTTAAAAAAAAAACTACTTTTATGACAGCAGGGAAATAAATGGCAGAAGAAAAGAACTAAGCAAGTACAGAAACATATATTCACAGACAAGAAGATTCTACACCACAAAGACATCAATTCTACGACTTAACATTCTATTGGAAACAATACATCTTTTATGTAAACAAAATAATTCCACAATTATGTGGAAAATTAAAACAGCAAGAATAGAGAATATGTGATGGGTGATATTTTCATTCACCCCAAATCAGTGTCTTTACAAATGTCAGTGACCTTGAGCTACCCACACAAATACATGTCATACTTCTACAGGTTGGTAAATTCAAAGTCAAGGTTATCAGCAGATTCCGTTCCTGATGAGGTGTCCCTTCATGTTACACTGAGGAACGGAAAGAGAGGGAGAGATGTTTCCCTTTTCTCCTAAAAGCATCAATCCTGTCATGTGACAACCCTACCACTGTGATGTCAAGTAACCACAACTACTTCTTAAACACCTGATCTCTAAACAGTCACACTTAAGAGTTGTGACTTGGCTTCATAAACTCTGTGCGAAACAGAAGTAAATGATAAGTTTATTCGGGAACAAAAAATTTTCAAAATCCACACATAGTTCTTTTTCTTTCTTTTGAAAAAAAAATTTTTTTTTGAAAGGCAGACTTACACAGAGAGAGGATGAGAGAGTGTGATAGGTAAAGAAGAAAGAATCTTGTCTGGTTCACTCCCCAAATGAACACAATAACCAGAGATGGGCTGGTCCAAAGCCTGGAGTCCTGAACTCCATACGGGTTTTGCACACGGGTGGCAAGGAACAAGCATTAGGGCCATGTTCTGCTCTCTTACGCACACTAGCAGGAAGGCAGACCAGGAAAAGAGTGGCTGACTTGAGCCAGCACTCTGATGGGATGCTAGCACTGTACCCTACACAATACTGACCCAACAAAACACACATTTTCCATGATCTTTTTGAGAGCTCCCTGTATGCATGGATTTCAAAATTACTTTGCATCAAAATAAACTGATCTTTAAAACCCACTGTCCATAAACTTCTCTAAAAATTTATTTACTTATTTGAAAGGCAGATTACAGAGAGAAGGGGGGGACACAGAGAGAGTGAGACCTTCCATCTGCTGTTTCGTTCTCCAGATGGTTGCAATGGCCAGGGTTGAGTCATGGTGAAGCTGGAAGTTCCGTCCAGGTCTCCCATTTTGGCAGAAGTACCCAAATACTTGTGCCATCTTCCACTTTTCCCAGGCCACTGTACAGGAAGTTGGATCAGTAATGGAACAGCAAGGACACAAACCAGCACCCACATGGGACATGGAATCACAGGCAATTTTACCTGCACATCAAAAGGCCAGCCCCTCTCCATTAATTTCTCTATTAATTTTGTAATTTCAAATACAAAAGATGTATTTGGGAAAAAAAAAAAAAAACCAGGCAATCTCCCACCCACTGGCTCATTCTCCAACTGTCTGCTACAGCCAGGGCTATGCAAGCTCAAGTCAAGAGCTAGGAACTCATTTTGAGTCTCCTATATGATTTGCAGGGACTAATTGTTTGAGCTGTCGCCTCCAGGTACACACAAGGTCACAAGAATACAATGAAGCGGGGACCCAAAGGCAGTCACTTCAAGATGAGACACAGGCACTCCAACTGGTGGCTAACTACCACACCACACACAATTCCCTGAGCTTTCAGAAGGAAATGTATACACATTTGTTATTAGAGAAGGAAAACAAAAGGATGGAACACAAAATGTATATTCAGTAGAAACAGCTAAAGCATACCTACATTTTATGCAAAGGATCAATTTACATATTCAAAATGTTCAGTGATCCTCCCCATCAGTATAGATTCAAAGAAAGTTACTCTAGGCAAAACGTAACTGAAAAAAATCCCAAAGATAAATAGATCTTGAAAGCAGTGACAGAAAAAACAGATGTAGAATACCAGGGTACAATCATACAAGAAAGATGGCTGATTTCCCATCATACAATGGAGATATCCTGAAGGTGTTAGAAGAAAAAATCCGTCCACCCATGATTTTATTAGTCAATAGACCTATCTTTAAAAAATGAGGTGAAATAAAGACATTATCAGACAAGAAAAATGATATAATTAATCACCAGTAGACCCACACTCAAGAAAGTTCTCCAGATTAAAGCAAAATTATGGGCCTGGCAGCGTGGCCTAGCGACTAAAGTCCTTGCCTTGAATGCGCCAGGATCCCATATGGGCGCCTGTTCTAATCCCGGCAGCTCCACTTCCCATCCAGCTCCTTGCTTGTGGCCTGGGAGAGCAGCCAAGGACGGCCCAATGCTTTGGGTTCCTGCACCCGTGTG